TCAAAACTGACCACAGATCAGGAAACCTCAAAGGGGACATCAGGGTTTCCCAAGACTGTGTGTCACCAATCACTAGACGAATCGCACCAATCCACATCAATCCACATCAATCCACATCAATCCACATCAATCCACATCAATCCACCAATCCATCTTTATCTGCGAAAACCGGGCCTAGCGGGGCCTTGATCAACCTTGATCGAGTTCCACTTGTTTGTTCCCTTGATCGAGGCATCGAGACGACCAGCCTCATGGTGGGCGGAGTCATTTCCAAGGCCCCGGAAACCGACTGAAGTCGAGGGAGCAGCCATGATGCCATGAATCTGAGAGGATGGAGTCGGATTAGTGTGAACGTTTAGAAAAGTTATAATGTAAACAATTTAAGCATCTCAAGAATGAAGAGCAGAGAAGTCGTCACCCTTTTTTCTGATTCTTTTAAACATCCGTTTGACATCGCTCCAGCTATTTTTTCACCAGTCCGACAATTTGTGAGCAATATCCTGAGATGTGTTGTCTCACCATTTCAATGCAGCTGTGGAAGCTGCCGCAGCTGCTGTTCCAGCTTATGTCCTGTTGAGGGACACCACTGCTAAAGGCACTGGGCTTGTTTCGTGTGCAGTTTCAAAGGCTGTGAGTGCGAGTAAGTGTATGTCAGTCCGGGGGGTCGGGCGATGTAGTTTGTAATGTGTTCATGCTGATATATATATATAAATAACTGACAAAACCGTGCAATGACCTTCCTTGAGCATGTTTCATGTTGCACGCCTCAGAGGATCCTCGAGCCTTGTTACCCTTTTGCCCTGAAAACTGTGTCCTCGCAGCGCGGTTCATGGTTTTGACGAGTTGGCACCGGAGCCGTTGTTAGAGGCTTCTGAGTGCTCCCTTCGATGCCGCGAGCGCGGCATGTGTTCGACATGACTGTCGATGACTCGGAGGACCCTGACCAGATGCAGGAGGAATGGTTGGACTATGACTTTGATCCTGCCTCCCTTGGTCATTCCTCTCAGGAGTCGGAGTGGTCAGAGCCTCAAGAGCGGATCCAGGTTGAGCCAGAGCCCAAGATGCATGCTGCTTCCCCCTTGAGTTCATCTCCCGCTCCTTGGCGTTGTGCTTGTTGTGACTCCCACGAATACTATGAGCTGAACTCCATTTGGACATGCAGCCGCTGTGCCTCCACCGACTTCTACCAGCCTACGAGGCCCATGAAACGGGTCACCACCAGCGGAACTTGGATGTTTGTCCCTCACCATGCCGATGGGTCTGAGCCTCAGGTTGCCAAAGCACGAACCCGGCGCCGTCGAAGAGCTCGGATGACCACGGGACCACCAGTTGGGCCGCCGAGTTCAGATGCTGGTGAAAGAGCTGAGTCGGAAACCCCGACCGTGGACCCTGTGACTGAGCCGGATCCTCATCCTAAAGCTCAACCAGGCCCAAGACTTCCACGGCCGCGACCACAGCGCCATGACCGAGCACTACAACATGACAACACCGCGAACGATGTGAACGCCCTTTCCGTCGATGCAGGCACCAGCCCAAAACCGGCAAGGCGACAGACCTCTGAAAGCTCCTCTTCATGGAATTCCAGGAAAGGGCCAGAGCCTGGAATCAAGTGGAAAAGCGGACAGTATCCACCTGTCCCTGTCTGGAAGTATGACATCCAGGACATGAGAGCCTTCGCCAAGTACAAGAAGAAAATAGCCATATGGCAGTTGCAGATGAAAGCTTACGCATCCCCTAAGGATCAAGCGCTTCTGGTTTACAACTCCCTCACGGGGGAACCTGAACAAGAACTCGAACATGTCCCGATCGACGAGATCTACGTGGACACCGGAGTCCAGAAGATTTTGGAGCTGCTTCAACGACCCTTTGAACAACGAGTCATTTACCAAAAACGGCGCTTCTTGCAAGATTTCGAACAGATGAGGCGCTATGCTGGTGAATCGATGCGTGCATATGTGTTGAGGTTCAGGCGGGTGCAACGCTCGCTCACCGCGGTGGGCGTCAACCTCGCTGCTACCTTTGATGGCGAAGCACTCGGCTCCAGGCTCCTCGACCGTTCAGGACTTTCTCATGCTGACCAACGGTTGGTCCTAGTGGGGACGCAACAAAGTCTGGAATTTGAGGCCATTGCAGAATGTCTTGTGCTGCATTGGCCCGAGTTTCGTGCGCCTCCACTTGTCGTGAACAAGGACGGCAAAGGAGTTGGCAAAGGAAGCAAGAGTGGTCCACCTCCTACTCCCTCTTCGAGCTCCACCTCATTCACTTCATCCTCACAGACTTCCAAAGGAAGCCAACGTGGTTTCCCACGCCGGCAGGCCTTTGTCGCGAATGCGACGGAGGGACCAGCCGAGGAGGATGAGTTCCTGGAGGCCATCGAGGAGGAGGCTGATTTGGATGCTGGGCCTGACGGCCAAGAGGACGAGCCGGCGGATGCCGGCGAATGTGAAGATGATGGAGAAGGCCAAGAGGCCGACGCAGACCTGTCCGAGATTGCGGACATTCTCACGGTGACCGCTCGGAAGCTTTCAGGAGTCACCTTGGGCCGGAAGTTCACGACCACCAACCCGTCGAAGAAGACCCGCCTTCCTCCGGATGAATTGAAGAAAATCACGCATTGCAGTGCGTGCGGGGGTCTAGGCCACTGGGCCGGGGATCCTCAATGTCCTCACGGTGCAAAAGGCGCCAAAGGAGGATCAAAAGGCAAGACGCAACAGCAGACCTCAGAGAAGGGTCAAAAGAATGCCCATGCCTCTTCGTCGTCTTCGTATCGGGTTAGTATGGTACATCATGATGGCGGAACCGACATCATTGAGCACGATCCCTCCGAAGAGTCTGGTTATGGTACTATGTTCACCATCAACATGATTGAGTGTGGTTCACCATTTTCAGTCCATGAGGTTCGCTGCACCCCCAAGGTTTTTGAGGGCATGATGATCATCGATTCCGCTTGTCAAAGAAATTGCTGCGGCCAAGAATGGTTTGACCACCATGTGGAGTACCTCAAAAGCTATGGCATGATCCCCAAGATCACGGAGTGCCACGAGACCTACCAGTTTGGAAAGGGATCCCCAACGGTTGCTACCAAGAAGGCATATCTTCCTTGCATCATTGGTGGACAGCCCCTGTTGCTTGGCGTGGCGCTCCTCCCCGAGAAGATTCCATTTCTTGGCAGCAACAGTTTGTTGGACATGTTGCAAACCAACCTTCGTCTTCCCGCACGTCGAGCCGAGTTCGAGCTTTTGGGGATTGATGTTGAACTTCATCAAGTTGCTGGGCACTTTGCCATCAAGTTGTTTGATTGTGATGTTTCTCAACAACCACATACATGGCATGTTTGGAAGCGTTTTTTCACAACCTCATTTGTGGCGCTCACCTCATGCAGAGCTTCTTTTGCCACCGCCTCAGATGAGTGCCCAAGTGTCCGGCGCACTTTGCAATTCGCCGCGTAAGCCCTTGGAAGATGAGACAAGCGCCCCCGCAATGGCTGGTGGCGTGGAAAAGACTGGTACTCGCCATGTCCGGCTATGTCTCCAACCTGATCACCTACATGGCCAAGGCAGCAAGACTTCATCTGGTGCCACCAGATTTCCTCTCGAGGGCATTCCCACCTTACGACGCTCACCAAGTTCTCAGCCCGAAGGAGTGCGACCACCTCAAAGTGAAGAGACATGGGAATGCTCACGGCCGCTTCGCGACGTGTCTGGGCTGCAACATGAAGTGGCGATGGAACGCCGCGTGCGAGAACATAATGGGAGCCAAGAACTGGGTCACAAAGCTCCTCTACGCAGTTACAGCCATTGCCGGCACCCTCCTCAGCAACAGTCATGAAGGACTACGAAGTGGCTGCATTGAGCAAGAGCAAGGGCAAGAGCAAGCCCAAGACCAGTCAGAGGCGACCTCCCTACGCCCAGACTACATCCTCAGCGAGCTCTACGGCAACCACCTCCCGAATGTCCAATTGGACGAATTTCGACACATGGGACTTGAACGTGGACCACCTCCCAGCGGAGCTTCGGCACGAAGTCCATCTGATTTGCGAACAGGATTCACCACTGGATGCCGAGCCCAGCAACCTGGCCGAGTACATCTTCCTGAACGAGGAGATCCACGAAGCCGACCGCAGAAAGATGGAACACACAGCCAATCAGAGGCGCGTCAGACGCCTGATCGAACTGGGAGTGATTGCCGAGCAGCCGGCCAACGAGGACGAGGACGAGATGTTCGACTGGTCCCTCCAGGACTAGCCAAACGCCTTCGAGGCATGTGGAAAAGGAGCTATGAGGTCCTCGAGATGGAGCACCAGACCTATCTGACCGGCAAGACCGTGGCTGAACGTCCACCTCCTCATGCAGACCTGTTTGAACTCTTTGCAGGAGATGCCACAATGTCCTTGCTGGCTCACGACTATGACCTTGTCGCCATGGAGCCCCAGGACTTGCTCTATGGCCAGAACTTCAAGGACAAAGCTACCAGAGACCGGATCTTCAAGACCTTGCGGAACTTCAAACCCTGGCTTGTGCCTATGGGCGTGGACTGCCGGCTCTGGAACCACTTCAGCAAGAACCTGAACTGGAGCTCTTATGACCGTCAAGAACGTCTTCAAGAGCTTCGTGATGAAGAGCGAGAATTCGTCCGCTTTGCGATAAAGGTGGCCAGAGAACAACTGGCACAAGGAAGATATTTCCTCATCGAGAACCCGCTCCGTTCAGATTTGTGGGCATTGGATGAGGTACAAGCTCTACTACAAGAACCTGGCGTATGGTCTACGACCTTGGATGCTGGAGCGTTTGGTGCTGAGATCAACGGTGATCCTATCATCAAGACCATGCGTTGGATTGGCAACCAACCAGGACTTGACCAAGCACTCCACCGACGCCTTTCTCCCTTGGAGCGCCAGTACTGCAAGCCCATCGAGGGCAAGATGACCAGGCCCTCTCAGGCCTACCCAGTGCTTCTCTGCAGGACCATCTTGCAGGAACTTCGTGGCCTGGTAGCGCAACATGAGCCACATCGTTTTGGACCACCTCTTCATCAGGTACTTGCAGTCTCACAGCCCACTGCATCTCTGTCACAGTGGGATCGGCTCACGGAGTACATCACCAACTCCTTTGAGCGATCAGCCAAGAGGCCATACTATGTTGACAGCCGCTCTGACATGGGCAAAGAGATCTCCAACCTCCTCCGCATGGACCTTGACAAGATCCAAGTCGTCTATGCACCTACCACCAGGAGGATTCCAGCTAACACCACTGGCTGGGCAACCAGAGCTGCATACTTGTCCTATGCAGATGGCACAAGAGCAATCGAAAGTGAAGATGTGGGTGACATTGTTTTTTCCACGTCAACGGTTCTCCAAGCCTGTCACCTTTGCCATCTTTGCATTTGGCCACCGCTGGACTGTCCCAGATGCTGCATCAACATCAAGTACATCTACAAGCAACTTGGCAGTTCCAGGATTGGTCACGGACATCAGCTTCCCTGGAGCCACAGAGATCGCGCAGGATGTCAAGCGCGCCATTGCTCGGCTGCACATCAACCTCGGGCACCCGACGGCCCAAGAGCTGACACGCCTCTTGGCCTACCAAGGAAAGATCAGCACCTCAATCATCAAGACAGTGCAGCACCTTCAATGTGCTACATGTGAACGCCTCCGACTACCTCAACATCCTCGACCCGCAGCTATGCCCCGGATTACTGCTGGCCAGTTCAACGATGAGGTTCAGATGGATGTTTTCTATGGCCGCACCTTGACTGGAAGCACCTTTGGAGTGCTGGGCATTGTGGATAGAGCCACTGGCCTACACCAGGCCGTGATGATGGAGGACCGCACCTCGGAGAACATGTCGTTCACGTTGTTTGAGGATGCTTGGCTCAGACCATATGGGCTGCCAGTGCGCATCCGTTGCGACCCTGACACCAGCTTCAAAGGCTATTTTGAGCGGAAGCTGCAGAGCCTCGGTTGCGTGGTGGAGCATTGCCCCCCTGAGGCCCATCATGTGATTGGCATGGTGGAACGGAGGAACGCTGTGCTGCGGTTGACCTTGGAGAAGGTGATCGACCACATGGGCGTCGTCGACCGCAGAGACGTCCGAACAGCATTGACCTCAACAGTCCATGCTATGAACAACATGTGCTTCTCCAGAGGCCGCACAGCTTATCAGGCAGTTTTTGGCCGTCAACCTCGACTACCAGATAGCGTGCTGGAGGACGAGACCGTCCTTGCTTCTTCTTCGCAGGTCTACAACCCTGTGGATGAGGAGACGGACAACCCACCTCTTCGAGCAGAGATGGCGCGTTGTGAGGCCATCAAATGCTTGGCGGAGTTGAATGCCAGCCAAGCCCTTCGACGGGCACTTCTCCGAAAGACCCGCTCCACCAAGGTCCCAGATGTCATGCCTGGGCAACGAGTCGCCGTCTGGCGATGGCAGAAGCGAGGAGCAAAGAAGAGAGGAGCCTGGACCATGTGCAGGTTTTTGTCCTGGGACCCTGGCAATCCTGGCCATCAAGCTTGGGTTCGATTGGGCTCGACAACAGTTCTCACCACTGCCGAACAGATGCGAACAGCCTTTGGCTTTGAGCAGTGGACACCGAATGAGGAGGACATCGCAGCCCTCAAGGACGCCACAAACCACTTCCAGGAGAGCCTCATTGAAGACCAAAGAGGTCCACCACCAAAGGAGACTGATGAGCTTCCAGCTGTGGACGAACTGGCCGACAACTTTGAAACAGGCACACAAACACCTGCAATGACTGCAGTGCCACCGACACCAGCAGCAGCAGCAGTGCCAGTAACACCAGCAATAGAACCGGCAGCTGTCCACGTCAATGTCGACAGCCCCACAAACATATACAGCCAGAAGCACACATCAGTCAATGTCTACCAACGTTTTGGAGATGTCCCTCCAACACCACCAGTACAGAGGAAGGCTCGCTCTCGCACACCACCACCGGCACGAGAGCTGAAGACACGCACCTTCCAACCGTTTCACCCACAGGAGCTGACCTTGGCTCCCACGACGCAGCAGGCCAAAACATCGGCCCACGACACACCTTTGGCACTCCCATCACCAGCTGCACACTCTTCTTCAACTGCACCCGCTTTACCTGATGAAGCACAACACCAAGAACATGAAGAGACAGCAGCAGAGATGGATGAGCACGGCACTGAACAAGCACAACAGGCAGATCCAACATTGCCGGATCAACAACAGGCAGGATCAGCAAGCGAACCAAAAGCAGGGGACAACGAGCACGAACCTACAGGTGAGACAGCGGCAGCAGCAGAGGAGACATCGGCAGCTGCAGATACAAACATGCCTCTTCCAACACTTCCTCAAAAGAGGCCATTTGACACACTCATCACACTGTGGTCCGAGGAAAATGGCACAATTTCACGGGCGCCAAAGGATTGGGATGGCTCACCCCCGATCCTCTCCTACGGACCACCAGCACAGCACTGCTTCAGAGCATATGCTGCAACATACCAACGACAAACGGATGTCGACCCACTGGCAAGGACCCCAATGAGTCAGACACCACACAAGGGTCCAGCGACAGTGAACAAGAAAACAACAACAAAGCACACAAACCAAAGGCGATGACACGCCAAGAGTCCAAGCAACTGGACCGGGAAATTCCCTGGAGGCAAATCCTTCAGCTTCCACCATCGATGATCGACAAGTACTTGGCTGCGATCGAAAAGGAAGCTTCATCCTGGGAAGAGTGGCGATCGATCAGGCCATTGTCGAGAGAAGAGGCCTTAGCAGTTTACAAAGACAAGATGCTGCGCCACCGGATCATGAGGTCCAGAGCCCTCTACCGAGATAAGAATTGTGGACAAGGAGAGCTCCGAGCAAAATGCAGAGTGGTGTGCCTTGGACACCAGGACCCAGACCTTCAGCAGATCACCAGAAGCTCACCTACACCAGGACGGGTGACTGAAATGCTGCTGTATGCCCTCATCGTGGCAGGACAAAACAGGGAGCTGTTTGACACCAACCACCTCTGGTTAGCATGGTCAGGTGATGCTGCAACCGCCTTTTTGCAAGGTGAGCAGAAGGACAGCGAAAGGCCAGCACCATTGTACATGAAGGCACCGACTGACGGCCTCATCATGATGACTTCCAGATGGAAGTGTGACCTCTACCAGATCCTTGGCAACGTCTATGGATTGGCCAATGCTCCAGCACTATGGACTGGCGAGGTCACCAAGCGCCTGACAGGTCTCGGGTATGTCCGCCACTCCTTCGACCAGATGCTCTTTTACCTGGTCAATGATGCCGAACAGGTGGTCAGCCTGGTCATGATTTACGTTGATGATTTCTTAGGGCTCCACCGAGAGGATCATGACATTTCCTCCCTGCAGAAGCTCTTCAAGTGGGGAGAGATCCAAAGCTTCGGCCCTGGCAACAAGATCACCTTCAAGGGGAAGAGCCTGGAGATCACAAAGAATGAGGCTGGCCGCTACGTCATGGACATTAGCATGGAGAAGTTTGTCAGCGGCTTGACTCCAGGAGTGATCCCAAAAGGGAGGCTGAAGCAAGATGAGCTCCTGACCAAGGCCGAGTTTCAGGAGTTTCGCTCGATCTCAGGATGCCTTCAATGGGCTGCCACACAAGCCCGACCAGAAGTTGCTCCAGCTTTGTCACTCGCCAACCACGGCGACCTCACGAGCATCCACGACCTTCGAAGTCTCTATGAGGCCCTGGCCTACCTCCAAGAAAGCCCTTCAGAGGGCATCAGGATGCAAGCTGAGTATAGAGGGCACTATAGAGAAAAAGATTGTAAAGTGTCATGATGGCCTGTGCACAGCAGCTGCAATGGAGTACAGACAAATGTACTGCACTTGCTTCTGTCACATTTTACAAAATCACTATACTCAAAGGGCAGTGGAAGCTGATTGCAGGGCCAGAGTGCCTGCTAGCTGGGCGACTCAGAGCTCATAGCTGGATAGCTATATTGCTTCCATAGGATGAAGCTTGATGAAGGTATGAAGGTATGAAAAGAAAGTGAAAATCTTGTACATATGTTTTCAAGCACCTTTGTACATACTCCAGACATGATACAAGCTTCAAGCTGTCATGAGCATTTAATGGTCACCGGCCTCACGACGGAAGGATGCAAGACCAGGCCTGTCCCGTACAGCCTAGTCGACTGGCGCTCATCTCGGAGCGCAAGAGTCTGCCGATCAACCTTGGCAGCTGAGGCCTGTGGAGGAGATGAAGGAAGTGACCGCGGCTCCTACCTGAACATGTTCCTGAGCGAGCTGACACACGGGTGTCCAGCCCACAAAGCAGGGCTCCGCTTGAATTTTCTTCAAGCGACGGACTCAAAGAGTCTGTATGATGCTGTGGTTTCCCCAAATCCGTCCCTGACGGACCGCCGCTCGCTTGTCAACGTGCGAGCCATGCAGGAGTCTCTGACTCCCTTGAACATGCATTGGGTGCCGACATGGCTCCAGTTTGCAGACGGCCTGACAAAGGCCAGCGTGTCCCTGCGACAGACCTTCAGGTCTTGGTTGAAAGCCCCCCTTTGCGGCACTAGCTGATCATGAGGACCTCCAAGAGTGGAAGGCAAGGTGCAACATGAAAAGAAAAGAGACCAGTGACAAAACCGTGCAATGACCTTCCTTGAGCATGTTTCATGTTGCACGCCTCAGAGGATCCTCGAGCCTTGTTACCCTTTTGCCCTGAAAACTGTGTCCTCGCAGCGCGGTTCATGGTTTTGACGAGAATAACTAACAAGTTATAACATGCGATAACATGTGCCGTGATAGCATGTCAGTTTGTACACATCACAGCACCACATCACCAGTTGCGAACAAGAAACATCATTTTACTTGGGATAAACAACATTTCAGGCGCCGCATGCATTCGAGCTCCCATGCCGGGGCCAAAAAATCACCTTCTTCTTCAACATGTGCCACCAAGCTGAACCTGTGGAGCTAAGATTCTTCAAACGATTCAAAGGGCGTCGGCAAACCTTTGGATAGAAGCTTCCTCCACAGAACTTGGGATGCTCTGCTGACACCGTTGATGCGACGAATATACCATCGGCTTTCTATGTCGCCTTTGTTGTGCGAGGGTGCTGAGAAGCTCACACAAGCTTCACTCCAGACTAGCGTGCATGTTGGACGTTTTGAGCTTTCGGGGGGTTAATGGGGAAGGTTGACATGGGCAGTTCTTCAACGTTTGCTGCTTTTTGAGCGCACGTCACTGAAAAATTCATCGTTTCCAAGACACCGCAACTGTTGAAACTGTCATGTGTCATATTTGTTTAAGCGGTTTATGCATGTTTGTGTTTTAAGCGACAATTGTCATGTGTTCCTTTTCCCAGTTCTCACCGATGGTCCTGTCGTGGAGGCGCTCTGTGAGTCTGGTGAGTCCCTTGGGGCCGGACGGAAGAGTTTGTTGAGTGATGGGCAAATGCACCACGTTCCAAGATCAGAATGCGTTTCTTTGCATTTGAATATGTATCCTTCCTATGAATTTGAAACTGGAATGCTTGTAATTCCAATTTTATCTTCTGTTCAATCTCTCGATACAGGACGAAAGCCATTTTTTGTGGTGCATAGTGTTGAGGCGAATGGGGCCTGAAGGAGTGTTCAACGGCATGCATCTTCCCACTTTGTACTCCTTAGTCCTTAGTCGAAATTCTCGAAGTTTGCATCGCAGGGTATAGTGACCACGCCGGTGTGACTTAAGAGCTTTGGGATGCCAGACATCCTAAACTCTCAGACGAGCTTGTGAAAGGAGTTGGGGCGTTGTGCCAGAAGTTAAGGCACGTTTCAGAACCACCCAGGTTTGTTGAACTTGTTCCTGCTTTTTTTTGAATTCCTTGTTCCTAGTCTTGGCGGTCGGCTTGTAAAGGCTCATGCGTCACGAAGCTGAGCCTTCGGCGGCCATAAGAGCTGCGGCCCAATTTTGGCGCATCAGGGATGAGGAAGCCGACTACTATGTCGAGCTTGAGGGGGACAAACGATGGGGAGGGCTTTGATTTGTTAACTAAAGTGGTGCCATAGATTTTCCTTTTAAGGTAATGGATTCTAGGCCTCGGCTAGGCTACTTGTAGCTGCCCCAGTTGGGGCAAACCATACCCCAGTTGGGAGTCCAGGACCTTCCAGGAATGGTGTTTGCATCCATGTGGGCGAATCAACATCACCCACGATTTGCCACCGGTGCATAGCGCTGTCCTGTTTTGCATAGCCAAAGGGGCTTGCCACGCCACCTCTTTCTTTCTAATTCGTAGGTGACACACTTGCCAGTTCGTCAAGATGTCATACTTCGTCATTGTACGAGTGGTGCGATGTTAGATTCTGTGGGCTCTGAGCTTCTATTTCGGAAGTTGACAGAGATGAAGAGATTTAGAAGCTCATGAGCTTTACCCAATGACTTCCAAGAGGCTAAGAAGACCACGCAGCAACAAATACATCCGTTCTTTCTCTGCAGTGATTCTACTTGCTCCTTGCATGATACTATGGCAGTTACTGTGGCCAACTTCCACGTTTGCACACAGTTTGCCCTCCTCTTGACATTATCCTCCCTGGTGCTGAATGGACGCCCCATGCGGGTGTTGACCGGCCTGAATTGTGTGCAGTTGGCCGAGCAGAGGGGTGTTGAAAAAGAGAAGAGACATCATTGGATATGTACAGCTTGGGTACAGGACCCATGTATGTGAGGCAAGCCAAATCAGGTTGAACATGCTGCAAGTTTTTTGACTTAGATGAAAGTCGCTGTAATGCCCTGGAGTTGGTAACTTGCTATGTCCTGAGACCACCAAGGTACTCCTTGATGCATTTTGGCTCCAGTTGCCAGTGCACACAAGATTTTTGGTATCTAAGTAGTGATCGTACAATATCGTACATAAGCGTTCCACGCATTGTTGTACCATGTCTTTTGTTTCCGTGAGATTCCTGCAAGGGTGCACTTGCTGCTTGTGCCGACATGACCACCATGGCCACTTCGAGCCGTTCCGTGATATGTTGCCTTCTCATCCTGGAACCTCGACCCCAAATGTTGAAGAGGTGGACGGAATCGCCACCAAGAACCCAATCCGATCATTCGCTGTGCTTTGAACATCCCTTCATAGCCTCGAACGTGCTGAAAGAAGACGTTTGCTTTTGGATAAGACTTGCAAGTTCAAGCTTGTGGGGGTTCCAAATGGGAATACAAGTTACCCTTGGCACGGATTCTTCCAAAACAGCTCAATTCAACGACTCGAGGTTTTTGTGAAGATGACACTCAGGCCCCATCAGGAGTTCTCGGCCACGGACAGCTCACAGTACCCTTGGTACGTGGTGATTCACAAGGGCGTCGAGAAAGTTATGAGCAGCGGGCACCTGTTTTTACCCTTGGAGGCACTTGGAGAATGTCAGCATGTCCAAGACAAGATTGAAAGGCTACTACGGGCTCCTGGCCTTACTACTAGGAACAAGAAGCTACTAGGGGCTCCT